CAAAATAATAATGGGCAATAAAGTTTAACCACCTGAAATATAGTGACATATGCTTATTTTAGAAAAATCAGTCCATTAAGATTTCATTCAGCTGAAACCGGTTTTGTTCAGTGGATAGAGCATCAGCCTTTGGACTAAAAGGTCCCACGTTCGATACCGGTCAAGGGCATGTACCTGGATTGCGGGCACATTCCCAGTAGGAGGTGTGCAAGAGGCAGCTGATTGATGATTCTCTCTCTTTGATGTTTCTAACTCTCTATCCCTCTCCTTTCCTCTCTGTAAAAAATCAATAAAATATATTTTTTTAAAAAGTTTTCATTCAGCAGCATGTTATATGACATAGAGTGATTTAAGCTTCGATTCACACCTTTAAGATTATCCGGCTATAAAATGTGCAGGTCAGGATGGCTACAGAGTTTCATAATCTACCTGAGTGAGGATCATTAAGAAAACACATAAGAAAAATCTATATAAATACACACATACGCCTGTACCTTCTCAGCAGCTGCCCAAAACGGGACTTTGCCTTGCATGAAAGCAGTGGAAGGAAGGAAGCTGGCTCCCCACGAGGCCTTTGGCCAAACTGAGCTTCCTGGATCTGGTGGCCTCCCCAGGTCTCCCCACCCTCCCTCATCAAGCCCAATGAACTAAAGCAGTTTACTAGAGCAGAGATGAACAATCCTCTTTCCTTTTACCAAATACATGATGGCCTCTTTGCTTACTGCTTCGTCAAAAAAAAAAAAAAAAAATCTCTGAGCTGATGTTTGAGTCGGATACCTGTGGGTTTACCTGACTCATAGAGATTCTGTCTGTGATGGGACCCCTGTCTGAGAACACGACAGGCAGGTGGCATTAGCTCAGAGTGACATGGAAACAAGCTTGCTGGTGCTCTTGACAGTGGTACCCAGAAGGGCAGTGAAAGCCGCTGAGCAGATGTTCCATAAGTACATAACTGAATACATCGCCTACATTTTATGTCACATGTATAATTATGTTTATATTTTATATGGCAACATTTAATAAGTAATAATAATCTATATTAATTTATACTAACTGTAAAAAATTAATTGACAGTTCCCAAATCAGTAAAAAGAAATAACACTAAAGACTGGTCTTGAGAACTAAGGAAACAAAGTCAATAATTTCACAGCGGGATTTGAACTCTGAGGTGTTACTAAACCTTTTTCCTAGAGCCAGGCCTACAGGATGTGCAATCAACATCTGAAACAGAGCTCGCCCAACAGGGATATGTTTTCAGGTTTTGGTTTACTCATTCCACAGTTTATATCTGATAGCAGCAACAGGTGTGTGGAAAAGGAAATGAGAATTCAAAAAAGCAAAGGCCACTTCCTCCTTCTGTCTTACACTCCGGCTGGACTGGCAGTGTGATTACAAGCCCTTTGGCATGTGCAGTTGGGCCGCCCGTCCCAGTTGTCCCGACACTTGGCCGCTTTGCTCTTGGGCAGGTGTTTGGCTCAGAGCTTCTGGAAAGGCCCAGCCTGGACTTGTCCTGAGCAGGAGATCCATGAACAATTCTCAGAGTATACTGGGTGGTATGCTGGCACTCACTAGAAGTCTCAGTGAACAGTCTCAAATACTGCCTTCTTCTATTTCACAGGCCAGAGAGGAACATAAATATCTAACAAGCCCAGAACGAATGTAAATGATCATGTGTGATTCATAAAAGAACTAAAAGAACAACACGGGGAACATAATCTGAACTGGAAAGGTCTTTAAAGGCTTTTTGGAAATACTAACACTGATCCTAAACCCTGAAAGATGTAACAAACAGACACAGACTCTGAGGAAGGGAATTGCAGGCAGGGCAAACTGATCCACAAGGGACCTTTTGTGGGGGTTGTAGGGGAATAGATCTTTAAACAAATAGGAAGAAGACCATCGGGAGAGTGGTGTGAAGAAGGGGAGGTGGTGACAGAAAGGCACATAGTAAGGAATTCAGATTTACATAAAATGCAGTGGAACATAAACCTGAGCGATATAAGCTACTTTTATATATATTTTTAAAAAGTCCCTCTGGATGCTGTGAAAAGAATGGGCTAAAGAAAAGCAAATGGGAATGGGACCACGGAAGATATTTTGAAGATTCAGAAGAAAATACTATTAGCTGAGATGCAGAGAAGTTGAAGTAAGTAATGGAGAGATGTGTTCATAATCAACGATGTGGGAGTGTGGAGAAGTGTCAAGATCTACTCCCAGGTTTTTGTATGAACATCAGGGTGGATAGAGATGCCATTTCCTGGACTGGGAAAACCGGAGCAAGAATAGGATTGGAAAGGGAGAGGATGTGGAAGGCAAGAGGAAGGATAAGATCAAGAGTTCAGCTACAGGGTATCTGAGTGTAGATATCAGGTAGGCCATGGGATATGAGCCAGAAGTTCAGAAAAGGATGGTAGACTAAAGACAAACATGAGACAGTAACAAGCACATACAGGTTAGTGGAAGCCATGGCTATAAAAGAATGTGAGGATACAAAAAAAAAAAAAAAGATACAGATCAGAGACAAATACTCTTAATACCTGGTTAGATAGAAACAGAGGAGCAAGCAAAGGAAACTGAGATGAAATAGCCAGAAGGATGAGTAAAAGATAAAAATGAAAAGCAGAAGAGCATGGAAAGGGAGGCAAAGGGGTGGGAGAGAAGGGAAGTGCCAAGAAAAAGTTGTGCCATAAATGCTCCTCAGGAGTCTAATCATAAGAGGACTGAAAAGCTCCTAGTGAGCTGGGTAGCACTTAGATCTTCCATAATTTTAACAGGAGCAAATCTGATGGAGCAGTGGGAGTATCAGCCAACTGGAATGAGAAGAATGGTTAAGTGGGAAGAAGACACACAGAGAACTAGAAAACGGGAAGTCTGCCTATGATGAAGACAAGTGAAATGAGGTATTAGCTAGTAGAATGCTTAGTGGTAAGTAATAACTTTCTAAAATGCTAATGCTGGCATGCTAACAGTAAAGGTCCGGTAAAGAGAAAGAAGATGGTGAAGAGGGATACAGGACTGCAGATGCTGAGGTGAAGGCATGAGGCCCATGGCACATACAAAGCCTCTGGTCTTTGAAGGGAAGAAAGGACCTTCCTCAGCTGTGAGAGAGGGGATGCTTCTCATTTCTCAGTGCAGTGGGGAATTAGATCCTCTCAAAGCCAGAGGGAGGACAGGGGACCAAAGGTTTGAACAAAGCAAAGGTATAAAATCGCCATACCATAAAATGGTGGAATAAGTTTGCTTGAGAAACAAAGTAATACCACCAAGCAAGGCAGGGTCTCCATTGGAGTTTGGTTGTCAAGAATATGTGGTAGCATCATTAGCCCAATCGGTTTTCACTTCCCTCAACCTCCTCTGCAATCCCTCACCCAAAGCTAGTTTCTGCCATTTTTTCACATCATGTGATGACAGACAGTAATCCCACCTTCTAAGACCAACTAATCCCTTAACAGCTGCATGAGCTGATCCTATACTTCAGGCTCCCACTTGTATGCATAGCCTCCGTAAGCCACCAAAACAATAATAGGAAGGATGGAGGTGACCCCCTTGCTTGCTCCTGCTCATGTTCCTGGAGTTCCACATTACCTTAGGACTGCAGAACATAAAAAAACAAAAAACAAAAAAACAAAACCTTTCAGTGGATGTGAGACTCAGCACTGCCTTAACTTACTTCTCTTTTGTGTAGAATCTGATGCGAATGACAGAGACAAATAGGACTTGTAGGCCATTTCATGCATGGGCTATACAAAGATAAACAACCACATGGATGGGAAGGCAGAAAGGTTCACTGGGAACATGATGCCTATTCCTATGCCCCATAAGTTTTCCAAAATGACATAAATGATAAAATACTAGTAAGTCCCAAAACACAGACATCTGATGCCTCCAACAAAAGTTTCTTGCTATCTCAGTGCAGAATCTTTGAAAAGCATCATCCTCTCAAACTGCACAACCAGACAATCAACCCTTTGAATTGGTTTTGAGCTTTGAAAGGAAAATATACCTGTTACCCAAATGGGCTCTTTATTATCTCAAAGTCTGGGGCTAGACGAGACACACATAAAATTTAATATGAAAAAGCTGTGCAGTTTAATCTTGACAAGCAGGAAACCAAGATATTGATGTGTAGCTTTTAATCTGACTTGAATTTCTGACAATATCTTTTTGAGCTTATTTTCTGGCACCAAGATCAAACGCCCTTATTTATAGGCCTCAAACAAATAAAAACCTATAAAAAAGGAAGCCATGTTCAGCAGAAAATCCTTTCGCCATATTACCAGTAGAACTTACTCAAACTGAACATTTTTTTTCTTTTTCTCAACTTAGTGGAGAACATGGAGAGCAAGAGAGAATATGTTAAAGCTCATTTTGCTTTTTATTTCTCAAACTAGAATTTTAAAATGTTCAGTTTAGGCTTAGTGCAGCTGCAACTAACTCAGCATGCGAGAGGAGAGTAAATAAAACATTTCCCTGAGAAAAATAAAACAGAGAGAAAACATAACTACCACCCTGGATTCGAAAAACTACAATAACTTTTCATACTTTCCCTAGTAGATGTAAGGAAACTTTCTAGGTTGTCGCCTCAAAAGTATAAGCAGGACCTCTTCCAAGGTAAGTGTGAACTGTGCTTCACAGGCAGGATGCCTTGGGTGTGAGGATCTTCTGAAAACTTCAATGCGTCTTTCAAGAGCAGTGCGCTTACACTGAAGACCACAGCAAGGCAAGGCAGGGGAGATGAATGGCTCCCATTCATCTTTTTAATAAACAGAAAAATGAAAAGAAATGAGGCAATCATATTTGAATATGCATAAGTCATTACTATAGGGCACCCATGGTAAAGAAGGTCAGTATATTAAAAGAATTCCTTAAAAAACACAGTGGAATTAGAAGAGCAGAAGGACTAGCGGGAAACTGCGGCAATTCATACAACATTTAGATTCAACCAAACGGGACCACCATTTTCCCCATGAAAATTGCATCCAAACAGCATTTTCTTTTACCTTGGTCTTTTCACCGACAATGTTCTTTTCCAGTTCTGCTATCTTCCGGTTTATGCGATCCAAAATCTCCTTCTCTTTCATCAGCTCAGTTGTTTCGGATTTCTGCTCCCCTTCCAAAAGAGCACATTCCATATCCAGCTGCGGACACAAAACAAAGCCCAGAGGTGTTTCACCTTCAGGGAAATTCTCAGCTGCCCACTTCAGAGGTTCATCTTTAACAGCTACCAATTCTAAGAAGTAACTACTGTGTCAGCCCGACTGTGGGGCCGTGAAACTACTTCAGAGAGCCCATGAGAGGGTTAGGAGTCCTACTGACATATATCCTATCTTCCTAGAATATAAGAAAACTAGTTATTTAATTTTTCTACGATGACCCCTTTTTTGCTTAGTTCTCAGAATATTTTGCTCTTCTGCTTAGTTTTGAGCTTCACTAGGAACCATCTTGGGAACAACCATGCCTTTCTTTGTTTGTCCCTAGAGCATGGGAAGCAACAATTGCAGTCAGCCAGCAAGCATGCACTGCATTCCTTAGCAATGCCAGCAGGAGGGGCTCCCAGGGTGTGTGCGCAGGCTGACAGGTGAGCAGTCCCCTTCCACTCACGAGGCTGCCTACATCATCTGTGAGTGCACACATGCAGATCCTGCCTAGGCAGAATTATGTGCTCTTTCTCACTCAATGAAGTTAATATAAAATTTTCCATCTCTTCAGTTATAGTTATAATTCTATAACCAGAATCACAGTCTGTCTGTGTCTATCTCCCTCTTGGTTTGCAAACCTCTAGGAAGCTAAGTCCACGTTTGATTCATATGTAAATCCCTGCTATAGGATCAACATGATATCCACCTCACAGTAAGCACACACAGAAAATGTGTATTGGGTTTGAACTTGAACACCTAAATTCATGGCACCTTGAGTCACAAGTCTTGTATCAAGTTAGAAAGCATGTACAGTAAGTCCTCACTTAACATCATCGAGAGGTTCTTGTACTTGTGGTGAAATGATGTTTAATATAATGAAACTGAATTTTACCATAGACTTTTTATAATTCTTGATATAAACAAGAGTTAAGTTCCTACAGTATCTCATTAATGTTAGAATGTAACAAAGTTGAACAAAATAAGTTATTTGAGAACCTGCTGTATTAATTAAGATAAATTCAGTTATACATAAAGTACATGAAAAATGGCTGAATATGTTTACCTCTCTTTACTAAAAAAAGAAAAGATAAATGTAAAACAAAAAAAATGCATTTGTATCCTGGTACCCACTGAACTAATGTTTGCTCATGTTAACCTCTCTGTATTCTGTTTCCAAGGGCTTTGGTCTAATGGGCAACAATATTTTAAAGCTAAAAACAAAAGAAAGAAAAGCAGGGAGAGGGTAAAAAATGAATTCATGGCTTATACCTCTCTGGAAGATTCATCCATCTGGTCATTTATATCTTTGATTTTTTGTTCAAGTTCCTCGAGGTTGTTCAGAATTGTTATCCGGGTCTCTTCCATTGCAGCCAGCTCCTGAATCCTTTGTTCCTCATTTATACCCTCTGGGGTCTGTAATTAATCAACACAGAAAAGAGATGTTCACTCTTGAATTTGAGAATTTCCCAATTCATAAACTATCCCCAACTGCCTCCATACCTGTCAGGATTCTAATAGCAGCTTTGTGAAGGTTTAGTAGGAACTCTGCATTTCCCCCACAGATACTTAGCAGTTGGGTTCTTTGACTAGCTCACAGAACACAATTTAAAATTTTAAATTCATATATTCTTAAAATGAAATAACTAAGAGGTTATACAGATGAGGAAAGTGTGGTCCACAGAGACTGTAGTTACTTCTTTACAAGGCGAAGACCTAGAACCTAGGCAAGGCTCTGAGCTCTCCGTCGGGGATGGATCTCCTGGGCATGCTGCTGCCTTTCACTACAAACTCCACATCTCTCCCATCTCCAAGCAAGAACATCTACTAGGACAACTGTCTCTGGAATCTCTATCACACTACTGGTCCTACTACTAAGGTCACCTGCAAGTGAGCTTTCATGCTTATTTCTTTCTTTCTAACACAAGGTGGAAAAAAGCAAGGGCAATCACATGAGGCCCAATCTCACCAAATGTCCCACAAAGTTAATTATCAGAACAAAACAGGCTTAATTACATCTACAATCCTCTCCCCCAGTGGTTTAAAATGAGACACCTAATATTAAGTTGTTTTTTGTGTCAGCACACTGCTTACATCCTATAGGAACTTCTTCCTATGTAATGTTTAGGAACCTATCTGGAAAATAGTCTTTAGTGAAATGAAACAAGGCCCTGGCCATCATTCATAAAATTGTCATGAAAATAAAAAGAGTTCCTAAGCAAGAAACAAGAAAGTCAAGAAAGAAATTAAGTGAGAGAAGGCATACTTACTCCCCTGAACAATTATGCCAAACTAGAGGCTTGGTGCATGAAATTCGTAGGCCTGGCCAGAGATCAGGGTATACCAGGGCCCTCCAGCTGTGAGCTGGGGCCTTCTTTCATTCCGTGCCGCCCCCTGGTGGTCAGCACATATCATAGTGAGTGATCAAACTCCTGGTCTCCTGGTTAAACTCCTGGTCTCCTGGTTGAACTCCTGAGAGGACACTCTGAATTTTCCGCTTTTATATTTACAGATGCCCGGGGAAAAGGAATGTTGATCATACACACAGCCAAAATATGACTTTTTGTTATTTTAAGAAAAAAATATAGTGAATTGCAAATGGCAAATTTCAAGAATTCAGGTTATCTTGTGTATCACCAAGTATAGACCAGTCTTTCTGTATGTCAAGAAATGCTGGTATATTTAAGTTTCATTACTCTTTTAAAAAGAAGTAACTTTTTTCATCAGTAAGTCAATGATTTTACAACTTTACAATTAGAAATTAAAAGCAGCAGGTCAGCCGAAACCGGTTTGGCTCAGTGGATAGAGCGTCGGCTTGGGGACTGAAGGGTCCCGGGTTCGATTCTGGTCAAGGGCATGTACCTTGGTTGCGGGCATATCCCCAGTAGGGGGTGTGCAAGAGGCAGCTGATCGATGACTCTCTCTTATCGATGTTTCTAACTCTTTATCTCTCTCTCTTCCTCTCTGTACAAAATCAATAAAATATACTTAAAAAAAAATAAAAGCAGCAGGTCAGATAAGTAAATTATTTAAGATTATTCACTAATCATTAAAAGGAATATTCAAATGGAAAGAACTATTAAAATCTATTGTACCTCATTAAGTTCATTTATTTAAAAATCCTGAAAATAATTATAAGAAAGAAAGGCACTGTATTGTGTTCTTTTATTAATATTCTTTACTCTCTAACCCACTTGCTGCTCCTTAAGGAGACTAAATGATGGAGAAGTGACAAGTATCTCAGGTTGACTAGAACAAGGATTCAGCTCTTCACAGCTGTGGCATTTAGCTTTCTAATTGCCACCTGAAATCTGTATCTTATTGACTAAAAAACAACTGTGACCGTTTTACCACAGACAATGAATCACATTGTCCTGATACTTGGGTGCTTGTTGTGGGGCCTGAGGAATTCCTGTAACAGTGCATGGCATTCTGAAATCACTGACCAGTAATCCCAGCAGGAAAGCCTCAAGAAGGCCGGCATCCTGTTAGGTCAACATTTCATATTAGATTTCAACTTCCACATGGTTTAAAAATATCTCTCTCACTGGTGGAAGCAAAGCATTAAGAGAAAACAAAACCCGAACAATCTTCAAAACTAGAAAGGCAGGCAATAGTGGCAATTATAAATATCTGCATAAATCAAAGTTTCACAATAGGTATATTTAATAATAAACAACTGGAGAGGCTGTTTATAGCAATAAATACCATCGAGGAAATTACTGTGTGCTTTTTTTTAAACTGTTATTTATAAAAAGCAAAATCTTTAAAAGGCATTCTAAAACTCTGGTCTGTGATAGAATAGGGTGTGGATGTTGATCTCATTTACATCAAAATAAAGAAAACCAGTAGAGAGCCCTGGGTGTGGTGGCCACTAAATATCTTTAGCTTTATAGGGAAAGAGAAAGCTTTAATTTTAATCTCTCTGGGATATTTTTATTGTAATGAATAGGATTCCACTGGGAGTGACATTATTTAATAAGCCCATTAACACACTTATGTGCATCCCCAAGTATGTCATCTCTTGGTATGCTCCTGGTCAGGTGACTTCTAACCAGGAGCAAGTATGCCAAGTAATAGACACAGAGAAAGAGGAGAGAGAATAGGAATTCTGCATTTGCCTTGTTTTGTAGATCTCTTCTTAGAAACGTCTTGCAACCAGATGAGGATGCAAGTGTGAGGGTTTTCCACTGTAGACAAAATGATTACTCAAAAGGAGAAGAGTGAAAAGTTCTCATTACAAAGAAAAAAACATTTTTGGTAATTATAGGAGGTGATGAATGCTAATAAAATTTATTGTGGGAATTGTTTTGCAATGTATGTTAGTCAAGCCATTATACTGTACACCAAGCATGTCAAACTAGTGGCTGACTAGTTTGACATGCTTGCTGGACACCTTAAACTTATATGACGTAGGTATCTCAATAAAAGGGCAAGAAAAAGGAGAAGAGTGAGGTACTCCTAACTTTCACCTCAGGTGGTGGCAAAGAGGTTGAAGCTCACTAAAATTAGCATATTTCCAGTTATCTGAATTTTTAAGTGTTTGGTAAAGCAAGTTCCAGAACAGTTAATCTCCAGTTTCCTAAATATCATTAAAATTTTTGCTTTATTAAATCGGCTTAGAGTGTTTTTCACATTCCTCTCTTCACTAATCCTTAGATTGATTAATAACAAACACTGTACTTTTAAAATACTTCAGTGAGCAAGGCCCCAGTCGCCTAATGGATAAGGCACTGGCCTCCGAAAATACTTCAGTGAGCAGATTATTCCAAGAGGAAGCTCACCAAAAAACAAATGGCCAGGACTTTTTAAAAAGATTCTATCTCCTGTCTTGAGGTAACACATGTCTGTCTTCAAAGAGAATAAATGAAAAATGCATTCCCGGGAACCTGACCCCTCTCACTGGCCCTGTCTAAGCTGCTGTGTGCAAAACACAGGAGCCCCTGGCATTTCCTGCCTCCCAGGAGACACAGTTTTTCCTTTTGCACAGAGATGCTGCTCCAAGCTCCAGAGGCCTCCCTCTCCACAAAAGCACATCTGAGCAATAGAAAACATCTGTCCTGATCTGCTCACTTACACAGCAACAGCTTTCTTGTCACAGTCCTCTTCAAGAGGAAACATGTCTCCAAAAAGATGGTCCTTAGGGAGAACTCACAGCTCAGCATCAAAACAAAATCTAGCAGAACTCCATAAGAGAAGCCATGTGAAAGGACTTCGGATAAAAAGGTAGCAAAGGGTTTCTGGGAAACCACAGTGTGACACAGGCCAAACTATCAAATGATGGATCATTCACTGTGCCTGAAAGACAACTCTTGAGTTTCCTCCCAGATTCTAGCTTTTAACAGTTGCATCTATGTTGAGAATTAGAATGGTACATGTAGTCATTAGAAGGAAGAAGGGATTGGGCAATCCAGAGTCTTGATGGTTTTGATGCATACAATGGGAGAACTCAAGGCAGGTGACTTCTGACCAGGAGCATTCAACTTTTTTAAAAAGAAAAATCTTGTTGCGGCCAAACAAACAAAAATAAAAACAAATGCATAAAGTCCCCTGAATAGTACTCAGTGTGATAAATTACCTCCAGAATTTAGTACCTTGATGATATGTTTCTTTTAAAGAATCAGTAAGTGTCCTTCTCTTCTAAGAACAACAATAACAATAAGAGCAAAAATAACTAACATATCTTCTTATATTTGATTCTTCTGCCAAGTATCTCAGAGTCTAACTTAATGGTCAGAGCCACTTAAATAAGTAAATAAACTAGTACTATTTATTGTTAAGTACATAAATTCTTTTGATTATGGTACTTGCTTTCCCAGACTCTGCTTTTTCCTGTTTTTTACTATCTTGATGTTCTAATTTTATTGTAATAAAATGCTTATCTTATAATATATTTTATTATAAAGTGCTCTTAAATCCTTTGTAGAGAACAGGTAGGAGAATCTTTAAACATTTTATAGAAAAAAAATTCTTAACCTGTGTGATAAAATAGCACCAAAAATTTTCCTTGAACTCCATTTTAAAAATCCTCAAGATTGAAAGGCATTTTAAAAATCAGCAAACAACCAGAAAACTAAATAATAACTATGATGACATATAAATCTTAAAATTTTATATGTCCAAAAAATTTCACACAAAAAATCAGAAGCCAAAGTTATCATTCATGACTAATTTCATTACCAAAATAGTTATTACTCAGTAAAAACAAGGCATTTTCCAAAAATTGGGTGAGGAACATAAATAAATGTATTGAAATACAAATTAATAACTAAAACAGATGTCCACTTTTATGTATATTAAAGACAAGCTAATTACACCTATTAGCTTAGCAAATTGAGAAATTTTGATAATAAACAGCCTTTGCAAGTGTATGGAGAACAAGGTGTTCTCATAAAATAAAGTGTTGAAAGTATAACTCTTTTGAGAGTACAATTTGGAAATATTGATTAAAATAAAAATATACAAACTCATTGACCTAGCATTCCACTTTTAGTAATCGATCTTACAGATAATACTTGCACAATTGTGCAAATATATATGTATATATATATATATATATATCCTAGAATATTTGCTGCATGTAGATTTTACTAGTCAAAAACTGGAAACAACTTAAATAGTATTCCCAAACACAGAACACTAGTCAGCCATTGAAATGAATGAGATTAAAAAAAAGAAAGAAAGAAAGAAAGAAAGAAAGAAAGAAAGAAAGAAAGAAAGAAATGAATGAGGTAAAGCTGTGTATACTAATATGCAAAGATGCTCAAGACATTTAGGTAGGGGAAAAATACAGAACACTGTATATATGTCTATGCCTATAATATATGGCCACGTATGCACAGAGATATTAGGAAAGCATGTAAAACACTTTGAGTTTATCTCTCAGGTGTACAACTTAGAAGGGATAGAATGGAGAGAAACATTTCTTTCTACTTTTCTGAACTGCTGTATTTTTTACAGTGCAAATTTACTGCTTTATAATAAATACCAATTTGCTATCCCTTGCAAATACCTCATAAACTGGCACCTCACTGAACTCATTTAGAAAACAAGCATGATAAAGCCTCTAGTCTCTACGCTAATGCAGATGCCCAGGCGTGGGCCCTCAATCCCAGTCTCCGTGCTGTCTCCTTTACCTTTGGCAGGATGCTTAGGTAAGAGGACTCGTTGGAAGCTTTCAGAAAGGCAGAGGCGGGCGGTGGGGGAGTCCTGGAGAGGTCCCTGAGCAGCTCCTCGTTCATGGCGCTCCTGGGCGAAAGGAAGCCAGCACTGCTCTGACTCAGGCTCCCGAAGGCGGCCACGTCCGCGTCCTGGCCGGCGCTTTTCTGGTGGCACCTGTATCTGACATCGGGGTTCCCCAGGGCTTCTTCAAACACGGAATCCTCGTCAGAGATCTGCAGTTTCTCCAGCTCCTTATTGATTTTCTGCACATCTGCCACCGTGGTGCCCAGGGACAAGCGACTGTCAGGCTTTGTGTACTCAGCGCAGAGGCTGAGAATGGTCTCCAGGCGCTGTCTCTCCTGAAATGCAAAGGGAGGAGAAGGCCAGTGAGTCTCTGAGAAGGGAGACACTTCCAAATAAAAAGAATGAAGAGGCTGGGACCACTGGTGATTTTGTCCCATACATGAGCCCACAGACCCCTGGCTGGGGATGATTTCCATCTTCTCTGATGGACAGGTATAAGGATCCAGATGACACCAAGGTTAACGACGTCTGATATTCCTGTCAACCTACATTCTGGGCTGCCCCCTTTACCTGGACATACCAGTGCTGGTCCTAGCCTATAGAAGCAATCAGTAAGCCTTTTCTTGATTTAACAATTTCCCAAACACTTGAAAGGGTTTGTAAATCACTTTTTCAAAAAAATCTTCACCCCCCCCCACTCCCTGTACCTATCTACCTTCAACAATGTCTAGCTCTTTCATCACTATAAATTTAGTATTTGTCCTTAAAATAAATTCTCTAACTTTCTATAGAAATATCATTCTACTGTTAGACATACAAAAGGAAAAATGCAAATTTTAGAATTTATTAACTTAATAGGCGTATCTAAGTCTTCATTTTTTTTCTTGAAATGATTAAAAAATTTCAGCTTTTTTTTGTTTCATCACCCTGTGAAGGTATTTTCTCACACGAGTAATTGAAATGATAAAAAGATGGGAATGAAAATGAAGACTATTTGAGGTTATGTCCAGACAGAAAGACAACAGTGTAGTTCAGATTCTGAAATCATTAAATCTTTGATTCATTTATCTGAAAAATAAGATGATTGTTCATTTGTTTTTTGTTTTTTTAAAAAATCAATATATAGGTCATTGATGTTTATAATGGTACCACTAATGGACACTCCTCTCATTCCCATGCAAAACAAGTAGCTAGATATGAATCTTGACTTTAAATAAATTTACTAATATTTTGAACAATAGGGTATAATTTACAAAATGCTTATCATAAGCCTAGGCAGCACCGTTTGGGGTTGAGGAATCTCAACATCTTCACCTTAATTTTAATATCTAAGGAGAAAGAAAAAATAAAGTAACAACAACAACAAAAAATCTGTTGTGCTGAAATCTACCACACGGAAAAGAGAATTCAAAAGCCTTCTTGAGAAAAGCCTTTTCAAACTGGTTATCAGTGACAAAATAGAAAACATTTAAACAGCACTGGGCTGCTATTCTCAGTTTCTTTCTTTTCTTTTTTAAAAAATATATTTTATTGATTTTGTACAGAGAGGAAGGGTAGAGAGTTAGAAACATCGATGAGAGAGAGTCATCGATCAGCTGCCTGTTGCACACCCCCTACTGGGGATGTGCCCGCAACCAAGGTACAAGCCCTTGACCAGAATCGAACCTGGGACCCTTCAGTCCCCAAGCCAACGCTCTATCCGCTGAGCCAAACTGATCTCGGCTCAGTTTCTAATTATAGCAAATCTGTAAAGACATAATCCTGAAGGCAGATTGCTTTTTATTAGTCAAAGGAGAGTCAAGTAGAAAAGTCAAGTAGGTACAGAGCAACATAATTCCCTGGTTTCCATAAAATACATTCGTTAAATGACAAGACAGAAGTCATCTGAGTTGTATCTGACTTTTATCTGGCTTCTAAACATGCCCCCCACCCTCCCCCCACCCCATTCCCCAAAATGCAACAGCTTGATCAAAAGGACTAATAAATGGGTTGCTTTAAGCCCCCACCTCCCTGTCACTGTCTGAACTTCTGGACTCCAGCTGCAGCTCCGTCCTCATGGCCTCTTCCCACGGCAGGCACTCAGAGCCACACACCCGCAACCTGGGAGCGCTGCGCCCTGTCCATCCAGGAGCCCGGTCCTTATTTATCGCCACAGCTGCCACCAGCTGCCAAGCCCTACCCACCTCAGCATTATGGGGAGGGTTGAGAGTGGGGCGGACCCAGCAGTCATTGCCTTATTTTAAACCTCTCCAACAATCTGGAATATGCAGAAAGAACCTGCAAGGGGATATGTGAGGAAGGGGACAGGAATGAGATATTATTACATGTTACCCTTCTCAACAGCATCTGCATTAGAGGCTAATCTCCAAAGAACATTGTTCTTTCCATCCTTTAGGTAAATTCAGTTGAAGCATCTAAACTCAGGTTTTACTAATCGCTCTAGATCAGTGTTTCCCAAACTTTTGACATATATCTACCCCTTCTATAACACCGAGTACTCTTCGTACTCATGAGAACGTAGAATTAGGCGCAGCTAAGCACGGTGCAGTGCATCTCCCCACCAAACTCTGGTGCAACCCATACTCCCACCAAACTCTTCCCGTACCCCTGGAGGTATGCGTACCTCACTTTGGGAAACACTGCTCTAGATTGTAGAGTGTATATATGAGCCCGGACATTATTACATTTGGGATGTTTTGGAAATTGTCCATTTCCATTTACCGGGGCTCTCAGGACATGTGGCCTTCCAAAGCATAAAAGATACTTCTGCCTGGCTTATAACACAGAGCAAAATTCCTCCCACATCTCCTTCCCCAAATAGTTTCTTTTGCTGCCAGGGCTCTTGCTTAATTCCAGAGGGAATAAATGATCCCGGCCCGAAGATGAATGCCGTTTCAGAGAGTGAAACGCAGCATTCAAAGTCTTGTGCACAGGAAGTCTGGTCTGCTGGTATGTGCTTCTCTATTCTTATCATTTCATTCACAAGCCAATCTGTCCAGGCCCGAATCACACACGCACACGCACACGCACACGCATTTACACACCACTGCTGCCCACGAGTCTGTAATAAATTCAGGCCATGCCGTGGCACCCTGGCCCCATAAAAGCGGCACCAAAGAAAAATAAACTGATGATAGAAAGTGAGTCAGAACAAAGTCTAAGCGAAGCATTTCAGAAAGCACTACAAGAAGCCTTTTAAGGAAAACCCTGAACAGAATTTCCCCTCAGACAATAATTCTCCCTCAAGTCCGCTTCACTCTGGGGTTTTGTTCCTTCCCAATATTCTCCACTCTGCATGGCCTAAAACCAGGGTGATTGCTCCAGACCAGGATGCTCTGAGAACTCAATATGTCACTATTAATTATGCTGGAACATCAAGTGCGAAGTGGGATTGGCAAACTCCCTTACGTTCGATTTCCCTTGGCATCTCACCTTGCCATATGCCGAGCTGGGAGTCTACTCTCTTTGAGATCTTTATGCTCTACCTCCTTTCCAAACCAGCAATTTACTGCACATTCTCCTGAAAAGCCACCAGCACAGAACCTAAATATCCACAGGGTCCATGCTGCTAGGGTTTAGAAAGCAGGTCACCTCAAAACAAATTATTTCAAATACATTTTAATTTTTTCTCCCTCTCCATTTTCCCTTTCCTCCATCCCCGTGTACCACATATATCAAATCAAAGCAAGCTTTGAAGGAGACATAAGATCTTACAAAATATACCTGAAGAAAATGGTGTGCCATACTTTCCTTCAGGTTTAAAAAAGTAAACAAACAGTTGTGGGTGAGTGTCTCTTTCAGGACCTCAGAGTTTTCTTTCCTCTTTAGGGAAATGTGTCTGGCGTTGCCCATCACAATTCCCAGCCCTCAGTTCCCAGACCTCCTCCATCTCCTCAAACCATCCAGTTTCCTTGGAATCAACTACAGCTAGTCTAGGCCAGTGGTCAGCAAACCTCGGCTTGTGAGCCACATGCGGCTCTTTGGCCCCTTGAGTGTGGCTCTTCCACAAAATACCATGGCCTGGGCGAGTGTACTTTGAAGAAGTGGCTTTAGAAGAAGCTTAAGTTTAAAAAATTTGGCTCTCAAAAGAAATTTCAGTCATTGTACTGTTAATATTTGGCTCTGTTGACTAATGAGTTTGCCGACCACTGGTCTAGGCCATAGGACTCTCAATATAATGCAGAAATAAATTAAGCCGAAAACTGATTGCTGATACTTAAGCACAGGTAAAATATTTTTCAAATCCTTCTGTTATAATTAAATATACTGAGTTATTACCTGAAACATAAGGTCAATCTTTAACAGTTAGATATAATTTAGTTGCAAGGAGATTGTTTTTTTCTTAAGAGGACCTTTATAACTGATAGGTATGACTTTATTTCTCTCTCCTGTTAACCCTAGAGATTCAGTATCTCCCTAATCTTCAACAGACATTTTAAGTTACTCAATGCCCAGTAATATGTGGTGACACCAAGATGAAAAAAGATAACATTTCTAGCCTAAAAACTTTAACAGAAGGCACAAATGGGTAATCAATTAAAGAAAACAGCGGTAACAGAGATTTACAGAAAATTTATGAATTCATATATAGCGAAGAAAAATGTAAAAATTACAGAAAGACAAATTTGAGTTGAGTTCTAAAGAATAAATGCGTCTGTGTGATCTATTGAACACTAGGGCGGGCAGGACATTTCTGTAAAGAAACCATACCATCAAAGGCATAGGGTGAAATATCCCAATATACTCAGCCATCAGCAACCACTCTGTAGCTAGGGAGATGGGACTCTTCATAGGAAGAGGGATGAAGTACCTATCCATACATAGAAATAGGCCAACTTTCTTCCTCTTAATATCAGGACTCAAGAGACCCCAATAGCCCTAAACAAACTTTTGAAATAAATTCATAGACCCTGGTCAGAAAGTGGAATGAGAAGAGCTGGGCTGACAGCACTATTTTCAGGACTCCACGAGCAAATTCTCATGTCTTCATTGGGCAGGGCAGGGGATTGAATGGAGACAATCAGGAGGAAAAACAGTAGCAGTAAATCTACTTGTTTTTAGAGATGAATCCCTTGGGATAGTAACTGAGGCTCCTAAGATCAGTTCTATTTCTGGACACAGTGAAATGGCTCTTCTTTTCCCTACCCCAAATTAGATGTGACTATGAAACTTGCATGGGCCAATGAAATGTGAGAAGCGATGTGTGTCACCTCTGCCTGGACAGCCAGGCTATGACTCACTGCACACCTTGCTTGCCATGGCAGAGTGACAGAGGGCGCTGGCTCCAGCCGCCTGATCCCTGAGAGAGGAAACGAGGAGCGGAGGCTTCATTCAC